TGCCCTGTCAGTCACCCCAACGATTTTGGGTGTATGACGTCACATATCACGTGACCTATAAGTAGCGTTTTATGGCTAAACCATGACGATAAACCGTCCATAAAACTACTTACAAAGACACAAGATAGAAATTGAACATTTCTCATGCCGTATCATCAGAAAAAATCTGTTAACATTTGGTCAGCTACAATTTCAAGCTCACGCCCCCTCATGTGAGCCTATACAAATTATGTCTCAAAAACACGGTTTTTGGATCTTTTCTCAAAATAATGACTATCTAGGCAAAAAACAGAAGTGGATTCAGTTAATTCAACTATTCACGGACTGTATTATATGGTTTAGATTGAATTCTATTGAAAAAAACACCGTACTTTTTGAGTTGAATTTACGCTATTGGACGTATTTTACAAGAGAAAATGCATAACGTAACCGGGGTCAAGCTAGAAAATCGTCTCTCCTTGATTTAAAACAGAACCTGTCAAAAAAAAAATAAAAAAGGAGCACTGATGGAAAGAGGGAGCGAAATGAACGCACCATCGGCCTCAGCAAGTTAATTAGTCAATGACCATTACGACCGACGTAAAATAAGGACGCTTTACATTTACCTTTTTATGCATATGGAAAGCTAAGGAAATCCTTGCCGGGGATTTTCCAACAAAATCCCCTTATTATAACATTTTTATATAAATTTTTAAGTTTATGAGTTTTTTAATGTACCAAAACACTTCAGTGCAATAACGTCAAAAAAAAGGTTTATTTCAAAAACTGGCGATAATGTTATCTTAGCAAGTCACGTGATATGTGACGTCATACACCCAAAATCGTTGGGGTGACTGACAGGGCACGTGACTACATCCCTGCCAAGTTTCGTAATCACATGTTGTATTGCCGCGGAGAAAATGGGACAGGGGCCACCAGAGGTGTGGGGCCACCAGACGTGGGGCCACCAGACGTTGGTGGAACGTGCCAACCCCTTCTCCACTGTACACCAGTTCAACGGATTTCTTTCGGCAATCGACCCGAGGTCACGCCGGAAGTCTTCGTATCGTAAATGCGGATTGAATTTGGATAGAGTCTTTCTTCGAAATTAGGGTGAGTGTATTTTTTAACGGCCTAAGATACAAAAGTATTTAACTTATAATTTCGACAGGCAAATTTCATGGCATAAAGACGCGAAGACTAATCTCTAATGCGACTTTCTTGGTGGTACAAATCCATTGCTTGGGCTTCCTTTGCTGATCACATGATTTCTAAGAATCTGTTGATCTAATTACGCTTTTTTGGTGTATTTTGGAAAGTTCCTGATCGGGCTTTGAGAAGAGAATATTCGTGGTAGAGATCCCAGGGCCTATTTTTGGATATTCACCGTGTATTCACCATTTATCTCTATTCCAAGTTCAGACGGGCGACAAATCAAAGTTCCTTGACGAACCGCGTCTCTGAGTATTAAACATGGATGAATGTCAAAGAAAAGTCGAAAATGTTTTTGGTTCTCTGCAAAACGACTGGATCGTCATAAGAAGCGTAATGCTTTGGAAAGAACCAGCGTATTCATTTATTATCTTCTGCGTTCTTAACATAATTAGCAGGTAAAAAAATTAATCACGTTTAAGGTGGTCCAAACTAATTTTTAAAATGTTTAGCGTATTTTTACGGCCGAAAATCAAACAGTGCTATTTTAAGTTTTTGCCTTTTTCTTCTCATCCTCAGGTGCGAATTTTATAATTTAGTACTAATGCAGCCAGTGTGTAAATATTTGAATGAATAGCCTAGGGCAGGAAAAAAGTTATGACGCCGCTTGAAAATTCGATCCAAAATTTGGAGCATATGAAACATCGTGCTCTAGAAGCATTACCATCGAAAGGATTCAGTGCCTTGAAGTTTTTACATATCTTCGGCATATCTTCGGCCGTAATAGTCTAAACACTTAAAACATCTTAAAATAAAATACACTGTTAGGTTTCAGGCTAATCAAATCACATTATATGAAAAATCCAGTAAAATTGATGCACTAGTTTTGCGAAGCTGTCCAAAATTCGCTCTTTCATTTTTAATGCCTTCTATTCAAGTGTTTGTAGTGTTATAAACCCGTTCAGAAAATGTCTTATTTCATGTAATCGGTCAAACGTTTCTATAGCAATTCTCCTTAAATATAACGTTCAAACATATTTTTATCACTACGCTAAAATTCGCACAAATCGGAAAACGTTTCCTTGGTAAGACTCGCGATTAGATTTGTAGTCTTGTCGCCCTGTGATATATTCGCGAGCCATCTTAACCCGGAAACACTTCCTGCATGGAATTATTTTCATATCATGGTTTGTTGTGTTGTTTTCTTAAATTAGTGAGCTGTCCTTAGATCCCAGTGAGTCAGGGCTTGATACTGGAAGTGAATTTATCAATAAGTTATTTGCAATTATGCATTAGTGAGGCCCTGTTAGGGGTAATACACTACATAGTCAATTAAAACCCCCAGATCCTCGGGACAGGGCGGGGAATTTAACGTTCATGGTGTTAAATTTAGCACACTCCTCAGATCTCTGGGGAAAGTATTTATTGTTTAAACTAGTGTTACTGTTAAAATTGATAAACTGTTGAAGTAAGCGTTAAATTTCCCCTTTTTGCCAATACAGCAGTCATCTAAAATTATGGGATGCCCTTGGAGCAAACGTTGAAATATTTATTGCCTGATTTCAAGTCGAGAGAGGCTGGGAACTAGCTTTCGTTTTATACGGACGGAAGGCATATTTGCCAGTCACATGCGGTAGTATATACATGTTTTTAAAGAAAATGAGTGTCATTCACAAGAAAGAAGAAATGGATTTACATTGGTTACGCATTGAGGAAGATCCCAGAAAATCCCAGAAAAATATAGATGAGAATTTGTTTTAAGTTCGGGATCACAGGAAGCGGATTATTTAGCAATTATTTACCGAAGGCCAAGTGATTATCGGTGGAATATTTACAGACTCGCGGCGAGGTAAATATCACCATAATCACCGGTTTTGTGCATCAGTTGTTCTCACAGATAGCACTGGTACATTTCCAATATCAAACCATTATTATCATTAATCTGTTTATTTTTCTTGACCATAAATCCGTCCGGAGTTACTTTTAACAAATTAATAATTTTACCCTTTGATATTTTAGTATTGCTCCAACTACCAGCAAATTCAATTGTTTATTTTAGATGTGTTTTACATTGGATAACGTAAATTCATATAAAAAAGACACCCTCATAGCTGTGCTGTCTATAAATTTTATTCCAATTGCTCCCTCGGCATCTCATGATTTCTTACTTAAAACAATACAATTCAAGATGGCCGCCGTATCAGTATGTAAAAAGACCTATTGCAAAGATTTCAAAGCACTTATCTGACTTATTTACTCTCAGCGTACGAGGAAAATTAATAAATAAAACTTGCATAATATGGAAGGGCTTTTGGCCGCCAAACGATCGAGCTTTTACACGCCTTAATTGGTAAAATCAGCCAGCTTCGCGTCGGAATGTGTCGGTTTCAATCTTCAAAGTCCTCTGGATCAGCACCTGACAGTCGGAAACCTCATAATTACGTAGTAATGATTGTGAGATATACGTTTTTTAGTGACTTGTTTATAGCTTTCTCATTATACTGTACTTTCTTATTTTTTAGTTGTCATACAACTGGGTTCTTCCGCTACTTTGTGTGGTGTATTGTGTTATGCGTATTACTGCTGTACCTTTCCCTGAAGGTTTTGCTGAAGACCAAACTACATGCTGCTATTCAGATAGGTATATATTTAGTTGACAATGGATAAGGAAGGCACGGCGTGTTCAAAAGGGCCGGATTTCAAGCGGAAGGAAAAGGGGGACCGTGAAACTTTTACTATTCACCTTTGGGGCTCTTAGTTCTCTTGGTTATTAGGTGGTTGCATTTGGGATTCTTTTTCTTTTCCTCCTCGAAATTGGCAGTCCTAAAAACATTTATAAAAATGAGGTTTCCAATTTTTCATTTATTTTCGCTCCCATAAAAGGTCCTTACTGGTTCTCGCAAGTGTGATAAACGCAAATCAGTATCATCCACTTGGATCCTTGTGCCTGAGCGTGGTTATCGGTTGTGCACGGTTTAATGGAAACCTTGTGTACTCAATGTGCTCAGTCGTGCTTGTTGTCAAGAACTGGCCAGACTATTGAAGTGTTTCAATTTCAAAAAGCCTAGCCAAACAAAAGCAAACATCAATTTTATCAAAAGGTGAAACAACCTCTCTGGGCTGATAAATGTTGGAGTACGATTAACTCACCAATCGAATTGTGTTTTGATACTTTTGATACTCTGGGTTTTTTTTTTAGGTAAAACCATTGCAGAGCAAAAGAAAAGGTAAATGGAATTCTAGTTTCTGACCTTGGAAACTTCGTAATAGTGTTTACGTAGAGGGCCACCGAGAAGGAATGTTTAGTCTTCCGCCATCATAATTAACAGACCCTAGCCTCCTAGGGAAACATGCTTACCACGCGCAACTAGCTGGTCTGAAATAGTGACGTAGAACTATGACATCACTGCAAAACTAAGTTGTAATGATGTCTGGAAAAATTAAAAAATGCCCGCTATTTGAATAAAAATATAAAATTCATAAATTATTTGTCACTGTTATCAACCTCTTATTAGCAACGTTTTTTCCCTTCATTTGGTGGCCTAGAAATCCGTGATTTCAAGAGGAAAAATGACACCTCAGCTTTGCAAATGTTCTCGATTCTGATTGGCTAACTTTTTTGATCAGATCAGCTGGATGCTTCTTCGATCTTTCCCAGAAATATTTGTACGTGCGACAAATTTTGCTTCCGAGAACTAATGCAGTATGACAAAATAATTCGTGTTTCCGCGCCACATGGAAACAATGTTACAAATCAAATAGTTCCTTGTTGGTTGTTGTTACATTCATGATAATTTGTCTTATCAACCATATGTTCCGAGCTTTCGGCCTACTCGGCCATCCTCAGGGAAATGAAAAACGTTACATATTGACAAAGAAAAACGCGATCAAACCATGGCATATGTGCGCACGCATTAAATTAAACAAATTCGCACGCGCTTAGGAAAAAATAAATAAAACAAATTAATTAATTAATTTATAGTACACTCAACGAAATTACTCGACTCTGATTGGTCGAGAGGAGTACAATTATAGCGTTAATTGTACTCCRTAGGAGTACCGAATTAAGTCGCTATGGCAACACGGCCAAAACAATGTCAAAACAATTATTTTCTATCATTTTGTACTTAAAAAACACATAAATAAAATTTTAAAGCCGTAAGAAATAATCTTTTTTATGCATTTCAGTTTCTTGAGTAGATATTTCGGACGATATCCATCGTCCATCATCAGTTTAATGACTCTATAGGTGATGATGGACGATGGATATCGTCCGAAATATCTACTCAAGAAACTTCTAGTTATTCTTTTTGTCTATAAACTCTTAGCCCAAAGAAACATTTTCACATTTTGTAATTTCCTGTTGGCATCCAAGATAAATCTTAGGAGGGTTTATAGTCATTCTTTCAGTGAAAAAACTATGTACTCTATCTTTTACTAAAAATCCTGGTTTATATGGACTACATCATATAGAGATTATACACTCGGCAAGCCGAATGACGAACCTGTCACGTGATTTATTATTGTTAACCTTGACTGACCAATGAAACTGTTGCTCATAGATATGAAGAAGAAACGCTTTCTTATCAAAGATTTTGCAGCGTTATTGCACCTGTTTTGAAGTTTGTCGAACCAAGTTGGGAAGTGTTAAAGAAGCTGGTCTATACTCGTTTGTTTTATTTTGTATGTTTTTGTCTTTTGATCTTTTTCTGTTTTTGCATATTCACCAATTACTGCAACATACAAGCACCTCACATCCTCATTTCCTCCTTTATATAGTTGCAGATTAATTTCTTGATTTCTGTGCCAATGGGCGGCCTGCTTATTTTATTATCATTGTTTGGATTAATCCGTCTTATTGGTAAGTCAGTTTTTATTCAGTTCGAGCAGACGGTGAGACTGTCTTGGACTGTACGTTAAGGAAACGTTATCTTACAAGTCACGTGATTATGTCCTGCAAAGGGCCAACTGCCCAAGGTGCACGTGTTTGTGACAATTCTTGAAAATTTACTTTCAGCTATACAGTTGTGGTTCTTCTCACTATGCTCTTTGTGGATGCCTTGGCAATACTATGGGATTACCAACATTATAAATGAAATGCTAGGTATGAAAGGTATAAATAAAAGTACGTCCCGAGCATTGAAATTTACTTCTGTTTTAGCTGGCTGAAGCTTTGGCAGCCCTTACAATTTCCGGTGTATGGCGTATACAGGCCCGTAGCTAGGGGGGGTGCAGGGGGTGCGTTCGCACCCCCCCCCCCCCCCCCCCCCCCCACGCGAGCTAAAGGTCCGCTTTTTAAGCAAGTGAGATTTTGGCTGGTATGATATTTTCACGTAAAACTAAGTAAAAAAAATCAATTTTACTTTAATAATTTATCTATACCTATGCGTCCTATGGGACTTTTAAAAAATAAAGTATATGGTTGGTCCACTTTTTGTAAATTAGCACCCCCCCAACAAAAATCCTAGCTACGGGCCTGGTATATGGGAATATATGGGAGAAATTATAAAGATATGACAAAAAATGTTTCACTCAACAATTTGCTTTAAGATTTGCTTCAGTCGTTGCATTGTTTGTACCTTGTACAGTCTTCTGGCAAAGTTTCAGCGCGATTTGAGGCCGTTTAGTGGGTATTTTTCAAAATCCGCTCTTTACCTAAATAATGGGAAGGTTCCCATTACAGATAACCTACTCCTTCTCTCGTAGTTATAAAAGAAAAGTGCTTTTCATTCACTGATAAAAATAAGATTACTGCTGATGACAACCCTAAGATTTTGCTGTGTTCCCTCTTACCTCTTTGATCTTGTCCTCTCAGCTTCCCAATCAAAGAATGAACCGGGTAATTTCTGCAGTCACCTTTTTTCAACCGTCTATGCTATTCATGATCATGGCGGGAAAAGGGAAGCTTGGACCACCGATCTTTTGAAGTGCGGCGTTCTTTGGTTCTTCAACCGTTTCAATCCCAGCTTTGAAATTCCATGTGTCACCTGTCAACCACATACTTATATCGGCGGCAACAACCGCTGTGCACAGGCTAGGCTATGAGTGCATAAAGGTGGAACTGAAGGAGGATTGGGCCACCGGCCTTTGAAGTCGCTCGTCGCTCATTACTTTATTAATAATTTGAATTCTAAACTTCCAGGTACCTTCCCTTTACCTCCTCACCCCTATATCTGCAGCAACCACCTCATGGGTCAATGTCAAGCCGTTAATTGCTCTCTGCGCCACTTGAAGAAGCCTTACCAATGGATGTACCGCCTTGGAGGCGAATGGGGGATGATGATTGACTATGACAACGATAATTTGGAAACATGTTTCTGTATTGACATAATGGGTGAAACACACACTTTAGAGCTACTGGATCGCGTTACATTTGGGTTAGTATTATCTGGCATCAATTTCCCAAACAAATATAATAGTTTCAATTGAAATAATATTGATAAGACTACTGCAGTTTTTGACTATATTTCTGGCTGACTACTGCAGTGTTTGACTATATTTCTGACTGACTACTGCAATGTTTGACTATATTTCTGACTTACTACTGCAGTGTTTGACTATATTTCTGACTGACTACTGCAGTGTTTGACTATATTTCTGGCTGACTATACTGTAGCGTTCGACTATATTTCTAGCTAACCAGCATTTCACAGGCCTTTTCACGACTTTTCTTGTCTTGTAAAAATATAGAAATAAAGAGAGATTGACCTTATGGGAAAAAATTATGCCAAAGTGGATTAGGTCCATTAGCAACCAACAATCAGCTCAGTTATTCTCACCTTATCTAGCAAAACTATATTTACTGTTCCCCCCTCCAGAAACTCCACATTCCACTACGTGAACTTTAGTAGCATGACCATCAGTGGAGAGTTTTGTCAAGTACCGATAAAAAGACTATCCACCAAGTCCCGAGCTGAACTTCCTGGATGTCCTGTTGCTACGAAGTGGTGCTGGTACTGGAAAAATGAACATGGAAACTTCGTAGAATACCAGTTCAACCGAATCGATGCAAGCCAGGTAACAAAGTAGCATTGATAGGTGTCATATCCTTATTTCACTCAAAAACGCTATTCTTCGTTTGCATGTGACGTCATAGCCGCCATCTTGGTTGAATTTAACAAAATATTTGTCAATGAATTCTTTTGTTATTGCGCTCCCTTATGAATGGTTGAAAACCAGCAATAGGAGATGCACGCAAAGGTCTCTTGGTAACTACGGGTCTTCAGCGGTACTAATGCGCTATTTTTCCATTTTCCCAGCTTAGCCTCGTTTTCCCCATTAAGTATATAATGGATAAAGATACAATCGTTGCCATTAAGTTGGTACACAGGTAGCCAAATTTAGATAAAAGTGAAAGGTGAAATTAAAATCGGAGAAATTAAATAATAATATATATTTTTAACTCGAGGTCAAAATGATTTCCTCCATAATATGAAAGAGTAAAAAAAGAACAATAAAAAATGCACTAGAGCACCTTTGTTTTTCTTGTCGCCATCTTTGAAAACACGACACACTTTCAACCACGACTTCACCGTCTTTTAAACCTCAAATTCCCCAAGAAACTTGACCAAAAATGGGGATCCATTTTTTTAAAAACTCTTGGCTCTTCCTCGCAGATTTCTATGACCGAAATCTTTTTGCAGCGAAAATTATGCCATCGTTATGTGAAAAAAAACTGTTATGTCATCGTTCTCGACTTTCCCATGCAAATCCTTCTAAAACATTTAGTTTTTATATCAAATGCAATTTCTCCTATTGTCGACATTTTGAACTGAAACTTCGTCATCGTACTAATATGGAGGCTCTTTTCAGTTCGGAAGTTCACTTTGCTCGTCTTAATGAGAAAAGATTTGGCTGCTAGACTATAAGGGCAACGATTATAATTAAACACAACTTTACAGACTTACTTGATTCACATATGTTTATTCACTTCAAACTAGGAGCTCGAGAAACAGTACATAAGAGGTGAAACCAGTTTTGGCTTTAATGTGGGGCAGCAGAAATACGAACTTTACTTTAAAAGGAGCCCCATGTGCCAAAAGAACATGTATTTCCACACAGAAAGAGAGGTGCGAAGACGACCTTGCTTGAAGTAAGTCATGAGATGAGAGGTGAGCTGTGGATCCAGAATGATTTCAAGGGGGTGGCCATTACCTAGATAGTCAGTATATACAATCTAGATGTCTTTAAAATGCAAACCCCTAAATACGCCCTTAAACAAACTCTTATTCAAATAGATAAGCATAAACCCCTAAATTTATTCTTTATTCCCCTAAAGCATTGATATCAATGCAAGGCCCTAAATACGCCCTTAAACAAACTCTTATTCAAATAGATAAGCATAAACCCCTAAATTTATTCTTAAGGTTTTCGACTTTTTCTTATATATAATTATTGAAAACCATTGATATCAATTTCTTTTACTTTTAAGAATAATTTAGATGTAATGTTTCCCTTTTAAAACTCTTGGAAATGAGATCATCTTAGTTTGAGTTACGCCCATGGAAAGATATATTATCAAGAGTTGGAAATCCTTATTTCATCAGAGTTCACTCCCTATATAAAAATAGACAAGTGCTGAACTAGATATAGTTTTATTTGAATATACGGTTGATCAATACTGCACAACACAGTTCGGGTGGATATTAATGAAGGGAGTCTAGTTATAGCCTTTCAGTAATATTCTTTCAAAAATTGCTTAAGGAGGCTCTGGGTAGTTTTGGTCTGGCACACCTAGCCGCATTGAAACGGCTACAACTTCGTCTTGAATAACTCGATCTGCAAGCACTTTTCACACAATCTCAGAAAAGGATTAAAGGTTTCAAAAATGATAAATTAGTTAAAAGCGGCCTTTTCGTTATGACGTAATGGTAACATCATAGAAATCGTTTACCGCTTATTTTCTCGAAAACTAGACCTAAACTTTCAAAGCGACTTGCACCAGTCGATAGTATTCGTCAAGGCACCCAACATATTGCAATATGAAAGAAATGTATGAGAGCGTTTTCCAAATATTACGCAATGAATACTTTCATGGACTTTTACTATTATTTCCGGCTTTCAACTTTATACCCTCAAAATCGGGACTTTAATTTAGTGGATTCAATATTTTTAGTAGCTAGAATATAGGTACGGATATAGACACTGTCCTTATTGAGTATGAATCAAATTGTGACCTTCTTTCTAACGTTATGGATTTTTTGATATGAAGCTAAATGACCCCATTTGTTGTCAAAAGCGATAGAAAATATCCATGAAAGCAGTATTCAAAAAATCGTCGAACGATTTTTTTCTAAATGAAGTCACTAAAAGATGTATCTTTTACAAATATTCTCCTTTAATTTCATATGCATTGAAGGGTTTTAAGGCAGTCAAATAAAAATAAGTACGTTTACGCTTTGCTGGAGTTACAAGACTTTGTACACAGAGCTTAGCAAAGCGTAAGCGGTGCAGCGCCAGCCGTAACAGCAGGCGACAAGGAATAACACGGAAGTCAAGCGAGAATAATCAACAAGCAGCCGTGAGCGAAAATAGTTGTGAGCCGTACTTATTTTTATATTTACGTCTCCTCTCTTTTTTGATTGTTCAATCGTATTGAGTATTTATTTGGTGTTTCTCGTTGGTTCTTACAAACTACCTCTGTCCCGTCACGTTTCCTTTACCTCTTTCTCTTTACCTTTTTCTTAGTGGCACTGACCAGGTTATAAAATATCTTGTATTGTTGGGGTATGTTCTAATTTGTTTCTGCTCATTTTTTTCTCAAGCGAATCTGCCAGACTTACCTTTTGGAAAATCATGGAAAAGAAGAAGGAAAAAAAGCAGAAAGGGATAGAAGACACACAAGTAAACATGCGAGTGAGGCTTGAAAAACTGCAGAAGGAATACCGGAACATCGAAGCTTTGTTCACGAAGACCATGAACAAGACCCATAATATCGAATCTATTGAAAGGTTGGAAAATCAATCCGTTTGGGAGAAATATAGCAGGTAACACATCTCTAAATTAAAATTTTTCTAATTTTATTGATACCTAGACAAGACCTTTGGGCCGATCAAAGTTAAGGCACGCCTGGATTGGATTAGACCTCTTCATCTTGGGCGTACTGTTTTTCCATTTCAGACCACGCGTCATTCCCTGGAGTATTATTTCTTTGTTTAACGGTTGTGCATGAGAGAAGCATGAATATGGATACGATTGAAAGAAAGAATCTTATTCTCAAGTGAATGACACGTGGTCTGAAATGGGAAAAATTACGCCGAAGGTCTATTTCGCTTGTTGTAGTTTGTGGAGGGAGGAAAACCCCTCAAATCAAGAGAGATATCTAACATATTCTACTCACATATGCTGCTGAGTGCAGGAGGTAAAGGGCGAGTGTACTACCGCTACGCCACCCTTGATTCCCACATGACTTACTTTTTAGTGCTGGTATTACATTGTACAGTAAGAGAGAGACCAACACATGGAACAGACTCGAACCACATATGTGCTTCAGTTGAGCGTCATGCAAATATAGCTGTTTAGTTCCATAATTTATCACAACCTCTGCAGTTACAACAGTTACAACAGTTACAACAGTTACAACAGTTACAACAGTTTTTTATTTCCACAAAAGAAAATATATACATACATAAATTGAATAAGTTACAAATATTGTGGGGGGTGCAAGAGAACAACTTCAGAGGTCAAACAAGCTCTTACACCCTTAAGACGAAAATGAGTAATATTTACATATATATAAGATGGGAAGAATCATATATAGTACAGTAGTTTTCGTAGTTGAACAACTAGAAATTTCATAAAACAAAAWAAACGTACAGGAAAAAAAAAAAAGAAAAAATCAGTAGTTTGATATAAGAGGTCATTATAACGTCATTATAGCATGCGTCTCTCTTCTCTCTCTTTGGTGCTTGAGTTCCCTATACCATAAATGTATGCACACACCGCGTGCCCACCAAAGCTTCTAAGTCAAGAGACACGTCTCTGGAAGAAGTTTTATTTAATGTAAACCAATCATGTTGTTTTCTTAAGCACAAAGAGTCAGATGTCTCGTGGTGCTTCTGACGCGAACGAGCGTTTCCTTTTTCACGGGACAAAAAAAGGAAGTGTAGAAGGAATCTGTAAGAAAAACTTCGACTGGCGCAAGTCTGGTACATCTACAGGCAGTCTCTACGGCGAAGGAACGTACTTTGCTACTGAGGCATCACACAGCCACCACTATACCTGTGCTGATTTGAATGGCTCTCGTTACATGTTTATAGCCCTTGTGTTGGTCGGATCTTACACTCAAGGAAATCAAGGTCTACGAATACCACCACCTAAGGACAACGATCCACATGGTGATTCTTTTGATTCTTGTGTGGACAACGTTGAAAATCCAAAAATGGTTGTGATCTTCGATAAAGATCAGTGCTATCCTGCATATCTAGTAAAGTATAGCGCATAATACATGCACCAATAGTACAGTGGACAATCAAGTTGTGAGATTTAGTGATAGAGTCTACCAAAGCTGCTTGTAGTTCTAACAATAAGAAAAGAAAGTAAGTACAAGCTTACTGATTCTTTTATCTCTTTATTGCTTCTTGATAACCGTCACTCACAGTAGAATTCTCTTTGAATTGGATTTTTTTAAATGTTTTCAACTACTTTCGAAGTGGAAAAATACTGGTCTTCATTAGGCAGGAACTGTCAAAAAAGAATCTTGGTATACTCGGTATCAAGACATAATAAGGCTTAAAGGAAGATTATACTGATGTAAAGTAGAGTACTCGTGATTTAACCAACCCAATTTAATCGGTAAACAAAATTCTGCGAATTGAAATAAATAAATAAATAAATGAGTAATATAAATACTTCATGTTGATGATATATACTTGCTTATTTATCTTGGTAGCCCGATTTTCATTTCATACTTCAAAAGTTTTGTGTTTAGAGCGCAGAAATTAAAAAAAACAAAATGCAAGTAGAAAAGGAAAGTGACAAGAGTCACAAAAGGGCAGAAAAAAGCAAGCAATGAAGTACTGAAGGGATACATTGATAAACTAACGGGCGGACGTCTTCACGGACACGGACATGGGTATAGTGCTAAAAGTTCAATGTTAGGCTAACAGAGACTTCTAAGATGAATTGCGCGTAGACGTCGTCACAATGCACTATCAACGACACAGCAAATCCTCACAGATATTCCCGGATCTCACGTGTATTTTCCGTCATCCACGCGCAGAAACGAAGGACTTATTTCAGGAACGAGCTACAAAAAAACTAAGGTGCGAAGCCATCAAGTTTAATCGTGTCTTAGTAATGCGCGCGCATGCGTCAAACCACTTGAAATTTTTAAAAGCATCTCGTGACAAATTGAGACAACCTTATGTTTATTTCTATGAATATTTTTATTTCATTTATCGATGGATAATCTGATTCATGTTTATATATAACGGACAACAAAAGTTGGAAACGTCGTATGGCAGTTTGAAGCTGTACGAATTTGCTGGGTAGTGTCTGTCTCAACACTCCGGCTCCTATGACTGATATGGCTTCGCATTCCATTGACTCAGTGATAACTTGTAAATCGATACAATACCGCGGTTGCTTTGAATGACTTTCATTCAAAACTTGTGCAGATCCGGATTTTGCTGGTTTAAATGAGAGAGATTAAGGTAGCTTTCGTTCCGTAGATATTTTACACATGCGAAACCCTTTCCTTCCATACCTCAGAATTCCGCCATCCTAGCAAAGCCGCCTTCAGTCGTTTTCTCGGTATTCGGTCTTTCACACTTAGAGTCGTCTCATGACTTCAATTTCTTTACTGACATCATAAGCAGCGTCACAAATGTGATCATTCACCCGCCCTACACTGATTACTGAGTATAATTCAACCATCTACTGATTGTCGTTCCTGCCGGACTCCAGTGAACCTGTGTGACGAATTTGAATCTAATTGTCGCTACAATCATAGCAGCAGTAAAAAGGACACCACCTGCACTTGCCGCAGGAACAAATGCAACCGCATGAACACAGTCTACTCCCAGTCTACTCTAAATGTTTTATTCCAAAATCATGATCGTCTCAACGCTTGTTTCTCCTCTAACTCACTCCTTCTCTCTCGTAAAGCTGCCCTTGGTTTTTTTCAGCCAAACAGATCAGTGATATTACCGCGGTCAAAGAGTAGCAGGTTACGCGGTGTATCTGTGTGTTTAGAGAAGGATAAACGGCTGAATGGAGGATAAAAGTAGTGACTAATGGATCCCATGGAATCCCAAGCCAAGAGCTAGACCACGCTGACCATGTCCTCGAATGTTCCTCCCAGTACAGTTCTTATTCGAAACCAAACGAATTAATCAGTATGGTACTGAATAAAATACGTGTATTTAAAATTAACAAAATGTTTGAAATATACGAACTGTCAAAATATATCATTAAAAAACTTTATCCATTTCTTGTCTTTTTTTATTTTTCATTTCATTTCGCTCTTCAAAACTACTTAGCAAAGAAAACGCGAAGAAAAAGGAAAGGACAGAAATTTGATCGGACAAGCTCAGGAGAGGTTTTTCTTGTTTGTGGCCATGATAATACAAACACTTAACTGACTGTTGTAAGCTAATTGACCTGTGTAGCCCTGGTGAAGGGGGTCAGTCACTAACAAAACCCGCTTATTAGTAAAATGACAAGGCAACAGTTACCTATACAGTTACATTTTTCGTTTAACAATTTTCTGTTATTTTTGAATAGAACGTTTCTCCGTTACTCATACGATCAAAGCAGAAGCAAAATGCAGGACAGAATATTTGCTAGTTGTTTTTGTGTATTTTAGCTTTAGAGATGACGTTATTGGTTCCACTTCTTGCAGTTGATTTTCCTTCTGATTTGGTTGACTTGAGCGACGGAAAACAATCCTGTTAGGAAGTTCTGAGTGAATGAGTCCATTAAAGAATTACGACTTTTCCATTACTACTTTCAATATATAAATTCCATATGATTAAAGTCATGATTCGCGCGAGTTGATTCCGTTCAGGAGCACCCGCAATGTTAGCAACAACATTCAGCTTATAAAAAATTCATTCCAGTCTTTTTAAATCCTATTTAAGGATATAAACTGAACTGCTACGAAAAGTTCTTTCTCTTTTCTTGAAAAATGGGACAATAAATGACTCGTTTTAATTTTTGTCATTTTCGTTTGTGCAAAGTTTTGGTGAGTTTGGAAACACCCTCTTGTCTTGCCCTTAAATGTAGTCCACTATTTTTACCTGTAAAAACTTTATTTGTTGGAACACAAGAACTGTCGAAATTTAGCTGGTGTGTGTATTGCAAATCAACAGGTATGTAGCCGCTCACAAAGAGAGATCAGCCACTGATGCGTTCAAACAATGAAAATGCCACGATCGCTATTAGAGACAAAGAAATCTCTTTCAATTATTAACAACCGGTTGAGTAATATAACTGATTGCAAAACAAATTTGTCATTCAGTCAGTAGGGTTGATCGGATCAGTAACACAGAATCCGAGAGGTGAGATAACATCCCAAATTTTTTCCCTAATTTTTTAGAAAAAGATTCCTAATTTGACATTGAATTGGTTTTCTTGGTAAAATGACCATAGCATTTAATTGGTATCTAATCGATTATATAAACTTGAATTGAATTGGTTTTCCTTGAAATCCAGTTTGTGCTATGATCATTTTATTGGTTTTACCCCAGAAAGTAAAAAACTGCTTTCAATTTTTTCCTGAAGATTTTTAGTATTGTTTCATATAATTTAATTTTTTGTAACATTTTTATCTTTCTGCCATCGTTTCCAGCCATGGATTACAAACTTCTTTTTGGCTCTCTCCTCGTCCTCATCGTTGCCGTTACGGCCAAATCGACACACAAAGATAAAGGTAAAAAATAACACAACGGCAAACATTTTTTCCATTTTATTTCAAATTCATTATTAACTTACAGTTTGATAGTTATTCCAAAAACTATTTCATTTTAAATAAAATTTAAATTGCATTTTGTTATCACTTCCCTATCCCCTTTCAAATCTATTGTCAACTAAACACCTGACAATTATCACTAAAACTATCGTCCAAAACTTGAAATGACTCTTTCAGTTCATCTCTTTCAAATTTATATTAGTGCTGTTTTAATTATAAAAATGTTCATCGTACTGTTAACTAATTTAACTGGTGCGTTATAGATAATAACGTCGATGATCATAATCTTGTATTTCGATTAAATTCAACAAAAAAAAAATGATGGACATGTTTGCAAGATTCACTTTTTAAAAAATTAAGCCAAGTCTTACGTTTATCCTCCAAAAAAATGTTTAATAAATTCAATACGCTCATTCTCGTTTTATAGTTTTTTTGCTGCCACACATTTTCCCTTTCTGATTTTCACTTAAAGGTTCATCATTCGAAATTCTTTCATAACTATCGTCATTTTTCCCATTCAAGTTATAGGTTTTGGTATAAAATTATCGTGTATTCAATTCCTATATCGCGTTTGTTCAATTTTCTTTCTTTTCAAGATAGAAATTCAATTGAATCAGTTTTGTTTATATTTCGAGGTTCTGGTGACCGCACTGGTTCAACCCGCTCTGTTCACGCTGAATAATTAAGTCACGACCCCACCCTTGCACGGGACCTTTTTATATTTCTTAACAAAATGTTTTTTTAGATTGTTTCATATACGCTTTCAAAATTAAAATGTTTCATTTCTATCCCAATGTTCAATGTTCAGTCTATACGCGCTAATTGTAATTAATATTCCTAATTAATGTATTTTAAGCAGCCAGAGATTGCTTTTTTTAAACACTATACTGTGTTTTCTCGGGCAGGTCTCGTATCTAAGCGTAGTGCAAACCCATGTCCTCCCGGATGTCCAGGATCATGCGCACCCGCTTGTACCGCCGTCTGTTGTTCGCCACCACCACCACCACCATTGCCCCCACTCCCACCTGCACTTCCACCACCACCTCCACCACCACCTGGCCCACCAGGACCAGACGGACCAATGGGAATGCCTGGACCATCAGGACCTGATGGACCAAAAGGACCACCCGGACCACCTGGACTTCCCGGACCACCAGGTCTACCCGGTCTCCCCGGTGCACCAGCTGGACCTTCCGGACGTGATGGACCAATGGGACCTCCAGGACCAGCCGGTAACCAAGGACCTCCCGGAGATATGGGACCAATGGGACCACCCGGTATGGCCGGTAACCCAGGACCACCAGCTCCTCCAGGCCCACCACCACCATGTCCTCCCGTCTGCGTACACACCTGTATCAAGGCTTGTGCACCAGCCTGTTGTGCTCACGGCAAGAAGAGATCCTCTCTTCTGCATTAAGAATCTAATTTTTATACTCTTTACATTGATGAGTGAAAAGGATGTCACGCACTCGGCACTCACATGAGAGAAATACCCCTCGCTCTCATTAACACACAGACACATACAATCACTAATGACAGACACGCAAACACACGCACCACACACACCACACACACACGATCCACGCGCTGGATTCACGCACATGGAACGATCAGTTACATCTGCGTTTTTTTTTTTTTTTGAAGATTTTCAAACACATTTTCTAATATTGAGATTTCGCACGATCTGTTTGGCCACACGTAGTTTGTTATTAACTCGATACTTAATTCAATATATGTTATTATTGTATATTTTTGTGTTACATTAAAGGATTCGATGAATCATGACAAAATGACCTGGCTTCTGTGTGTTCTCTTTTGTGCTAAATTCGTTTACCAATTTTCAAACCCCAAAAAAATACGACAAAGGAAATCAAAAAATGTCAGTAAAATGACACCCTCAACTTTATCAAACCCTGAAACAACCTCTGGTTGTTCTTAGTCAACCTAATTCGGCTAACTAAAAGTTAGACTTAAACTCGAAATTTAGCGTGACTTAGTAGACTATTCGCTAATTGTGGCAAAACAATATTCTTTCAGTCTCATTGTGAGTCTTTCGAACTTTTAAGTAATTAAAAAGGCAAGATAGATGTAAAATTTTTCTTTTCTTTGGCTTCATTCAAACGATAATACCAGAACTCTCTAACAAGAAAATAAAATTCGGGCTTTCTCTATTCTAAACTGGGTATGCGCTGAAAAAGTACAACGCTGGTCATGAGGGGAGTTATAAATCAATGTGGGGGACTGTCTTATCCGCCAGGGGAGCCAGAGTGGTAAATTTGCTCTCAACAAACCATCACTATATACTTAATATATAATCGTACCTTTCTGGACGTAGTTTCGAAGTGTTTAGTTTTGTAGCTTAAACCAGAATGAGTGTTTTTGTTGATCTGGAATCTTAAATTTTGAATCCGAAGTTTCTTCGGGCAATTTTCTCAGGATGCAAAACTAGTCACATAAATAAGATTCTAATTCGACAATAAGTAGAATACACAACTTTTTAATTTATTATCTTTTCCGAAATCCGAGCCGGTATCACTCATACAACGTACCCTCCGATGTTTCTATGTCCGGTAGAAAAAATGGACGATACGAGCCATCATCTGATTACAGGGCCTCTCTGGATACCTGCATCTGTTCTAAATGGGCCAGCCTGTTTAAATGAAGGTTACTAAACTAAACCACTGAGACTTATTGATTTTTTGATCTTCCTACAGTTTCTGGTTACCATCATTATCATCATCAGTGCAGTGTTTCCTTTTCACTCATTTAACAGGATACCAGTCCGTACCTGCTGTAGTGACCGGTCAAGCATTTCTACGCGTTATTCATTAGTAATGTTGCCACGTTCGCCGGGACTTAACGCTATATACTCGAATGAGCAAATGACAATGATTACGTAGTTTGGAAGAATGTGGGATTGAGAACTGAACCAACCAGAAATGTGAGGCAATATTGTGACCTGAATATCAGGCTATTTAGAAGGAAAGAAAAATAAATAAACTGTTGTAGAATCAGTAAGTTTATCAAATATATAGATGACAAGAATACCTATAAAGTTGGTTCAGACTGAGTCGAGGCTCTTAATGCAATTTTTTTTCACTTTAGACCTCTCAGCCTCAATCTTATGCATGTCCTAAAATGGTCTAAAGATTATCGTTAATTTTCAGTTAATCCATGCGATTCCTAATTTCTTCATAACCTAGTGTTATAGAACTAAAGGTGGCATTCTTTCCATAATATACTACATGACCTCGTTCACAGGCGGCCACAGTAAGAAGGGGGATATTATTATAGAGCGCAAAGGGTTATGGATACTATTTTCTTTGATACAAACAGCACGCTAAGGCTCATGGGATACGTTCACTCGAGTTTGTTTTGGTTTTCTTTGCGTTTGTTCAAAATGTTTCGTCTTTATCGATGAAGAATTAAGTTGACCTTACTTCGAAAACTGGACACCCTAAATATTTCTTTCTTTTCTTATGCCTTATAATTTGACCTTCTTAAAGAAAACCATTTTTAAAAAGAATTTATGAAATTATCATTTATTATTATTAATATTATTATTATTATTATTATTATTTGCATTTTTTATAAAATAGGCTTTATCGAATTGCTTTTTTATATGTGTAAATATAAGACCGATATTTATCTTCGCTCATTTTGGTCTTGAAATTTATCTAGTAATTATTCTTTTAGTATTTGAAATAAAAATTGTAACTATTATTATTATCATTATTATCAATAAATATATTTTTATCGTAGGATATATGAAGAGATAATCTATGCGAAATTATCTATTATTATTATTTCAGTCTTTTGAAGTATGTAAAATGATACCGATTTAGCCTCCAGTACCACGTTAAATGCTTTTCTTTAAAGACTAAGATTTTTCTTAACAGTAATGATAAAAAGGTAAATTATACACCGTGAAAAGATGAAAAAACTTACTGACGTTTCTGACTCTAGTCCTTCGTCGGAGTAAAAGACGACGACGAAGGACTAGCGTCCGAAACGTCAGTAAGTTTTTTCGTCCTTTCACGGTGTATAATTTACCTTTTTATCATTACTGTTTTACTAAAAACACCGACACAGCTCACACTAGTTTTAAGCTAGTTATCTCTTAAGATTTTCTTAAGTTTATACTGTCAATGTTGGATTATGAATGACGATGGAATGTTATTTTATCTAAACCAGTATGTATAGAGTAACATAAACTGAATCTCTTAAATTTGTTACAGTACTGAAAGAACTTTTTTCAACTAAAGAAGTTTTTGCCTTAAACATTCAAGCCGGCGTTATTTACTCGACTGATATTCCCGGCCAAAGTATTAAAAGCTTAACATATTAAATAAAAGAGCCAACAACGTCTTGGCATAAAAAGCTAGCGGGTGGAGTCAATGAAGTTTCCGTATTTTAAGTCAGTCGACAGTAATTTTGCAAACATTCATCTTTAGTCAAAACAATCTCAAGATTTCAGCTTTTTTAACATCATCGCTGTGACCGTTTTCGTATTTCATAAATAATTTCCGGTATGTTGGCTTTAAAATGAAAATATGCTCTTTAAAAGAAAACGAAAACGCAAAAAAAAAAAAAAAAAAAAGAATGATGCGGAAAAAGGTCTGCTATTGCAGATATTATATTAATCACCATTTATACTTACCATGGCTGTACTAATGATTCTATGAGTAGATCTCACAGGGTCGAAGAAGAGAAGGGACTAAAGGTACTCCCTGTAGACACACTATTGATATACCAGATCGATGAATGGGTCATATTGTAATACCTGCTACGAGATTCCGTCATACATATCAATTCTCTTTGCAGCTGGTTTTTAATCTGCTTGACCAAGTTGTAATCTTCATGGTGGGCCTGTCAACATTCGATTCTTACTAACACATTCGATAAACAAGTGGTTCTATTCATCGATAAGACAGATCTACGGGCGTACATGAACCGAGGCACTGTCCTTTGGCCTGGGTCATGTGATCAACTGATTCAATTGAAATCAGAACTACCCTTTCTTTCTTTACTTCAGACGGAAAACTGATGAATTATATTAATGAATCCCAAAGCTTTTTTTGTATTTGTTTAGACATGCATGTCATACTTATTTTGATGTTTTGACTTTTGACTCTTTTTTACAATATGGTTAAATGTTACAACCTTACGTATCACGTGACCCTGCTATAAACTACAATTTCTAATTTATAATAAAGAGCCATTTGGTCCTAATGCATTAGACAATAAAACTAAACTGGGTAAATGTATGTTAGAAAAAAGAAAACATTGTAATTTTATCCGCTCACATCAAAGTATTTTATTAACCGTATTTTCTTAATACAAACAAAAGAAATTCCCCATGCATATCAATAGCTAATGAAGGAAAAAGTGCCCTCGTAATAAGCCCCCTTTTTAACAGCATTATCATCTTTAGGAAGGAGAGGCTTTTTGATATAATTTTCTTTCTTCAACTGAATTGTGTGAAAAAGTGTCGTTTAATGTACTTGGAATAGAAGACTTCTTGATCAGTCTTCATTAATTTCGAATCATAAATAAATTAAGTGAACGAGTTAAATGATGATCAAATGCCTTTAATACACTGCCTACCTGTTCCAAGTGACCCATATCTTCATGAACCTGGTCAAAACATTTTTCTACCTGTCATTCATGTCTTAACGATGACACATAGCTGGTTCAAATCGAATTCTCTCAAGAAAACCAATTAACTGCAGTTGAAATCAGCTTGGTTTTAAATGAAAATTCCAAAACTCGTCCAACTTTTCCCACGTCTTTGCAGCTTTCATTTGCAATATTGGGATTTTCTCCAACATTCCATTGGTATAAAATCATTGGTTAGCTTCACACTTTTTTCTTCAAGGTTCACGATGCGTTTCAATCTCACCTTAATGAATTATTCATAAGCTCTCCACTATTAAGGTTCAAGTGTACTATCAAGTTTTTCACTCATTCTCATAAGGAAGGCAAGGCGACCAAGGTAGGCAAGCAAATTTATCAATCGTTTATCTTAAACTCAAAATAGATTTCTAAGAAACTTGAAATGGAGCTCACGTTTTGTTGCAAAACTTTCTAGGAACTCAAATTTACTTCCATTCTGAAATTCTATTTTATTTTGTCTATCTCTGTGCCTTTGATTACAAACAGATAAGTATTCTTTAGCCAGACCAGCAATTTATTTAAGAATGTTACTCTGAAAACGTTATACCTTTTACAAAATATTTTAATGGAAAAATCAGCGTTGTAGGTTTTCTTTCTTATTTTCATTTAGTGCTTTCTTTCTTTTGATTTCAAGTAAATTTCATAAAAAGTATTATTTTTTCATCCAAAAAAATTAAGAATTTTCAAGATTGACTGCTTGCCTGTTGAAAATCTTCTCCCTTGATTATAGAGTTTTTAAACATTAACACAGCTACTAAAATGTATTTCATTTGTTATAGATGGAAGTGAGGATAGTTTTGATTTTATCAACCCTACTTTACTTATCGACCCTGGTCACGGGAGCAAGTGTTAGTAAAGGAGGTAAGTTTAGCTACCCCATGTAAGGGGTTTCAAAGGATGACAGGCACTGTATACATAAATATAAAGAGTATGTTTAACAAAATTATGTGGGGATAATAGAAAAATAATGAACTCTCAGACTTCGTGTAGGGTAAAAGATAATCCCCCTAATTTGCCTCTCCACTATTCTTCGATTGCACGTTACGTCATCGCGGCCTCGGGAGAGTGTCAGTTCCATTTAACAGGAGGATTTCTCATTAGCATCCATTGTTAACGTCACCAAAATGGCCGCCATGTTTTTGCCTTTTCACTCTCTTGGGAATTCTTGCAACCCATCAATATGTGGGTAGATTTTTTGCTATTTATAGAAACATATAAAATCCTACAAAAATCGTCATATGGTAAAAAGACACTGATAGAAACTTCAACTAATTAACTCATAAGTGATAAGGAATGAAATCTGAAAAAAAAAAAGAAATTAATAAAGGATATATCTACTGAAATTAAGAAAATGTAAAACGGGAGGCTAACGTCTTCCTCACCAAAGAAACGAAATGGCCGAAACGTCAGTTGAAATTACGCAATCGATTGTTTATTGTTCAAGTTTCATTATTGCTCCTCTAGGCTCGTCTATTGAAATATTAGAAGTAACCTAGAAGTTCCTTTCTATTTTCAGCAGCTAGTACCAAACGAAGTCCCAAAGCTTGTGGTATATCATGTCCTACAAGTTGTGCTCCAGCATGTTCACCATCATGTTGCTACCCACCATCCCCACCACCCCCTTATCCTCCACCACCTACAGCGCTACCACCTCCACCAGCACCTCCACCAATGCCGGGTCCACCAGGCCCTGATGGACCAATGGGAATGCCAGGACCTCAAGGTCCCGATGGACCAAAAGGACCACCCGGACCACCTGGACTTCCCGGACCACCAGGTCTACCCGGTCTCCCCGGTTCACCAGCTGGAGCTCCTGGACGTGATGGACCTATGGGACCTTCTGGTGCACCTGGAAATAAAGGACCTCCAGGAGATATGGGACCCTCAGGACCTCCCGGACCTCCTGGACCCCCTGGTCAGCCTGCACCACCTGGACCATCTACACCTTGCCCTACAATTTGCGCACGTACTTGTATATCACATTGTCCTTCTAGCTGTTGCGGGCACTACTATAACCAGAAGTAATTTATTGTAAATGGCTATTAAGCTTTATTTTATGTTCATTGATGTTTTCATCAACGTTTTGCATATTCGACAAGGAATCTATCTGCTGCACTCCGTAGGCTGTAAGAAACCTTTATTTTAACTTGTCAAAATATTTGGAAATAAATGTTATTAAAAAAACAGTAAAACGAGTAGAGTCGTTTTTTTACTTATATTTAAATTACAGGATCGAATCCAGGAATTTTACAGGGGGGGTGACTATTACAAAGGTTTTACCAGGAATTTGAGGAAAAGGGGGTTGACTTTTACTAACTATATACTGAAAAATTTGAGCAGRGGGGGGGGGGGGGGGTGTGACTAACCACCTATATGTTACCGCCCCTGGTTCTCCCCCTGAATTACTACAATTTTTGCTCAGTTGATAATTAGGGATTTTCATACCAGTACGAAAACCGTTTTACTCAATGCATTGACGTTCATTGACAATCACCCCCGTTTCTCTGAAATAAGGTGTATATTATAAATAAACAATGGAAACATGGGGTGAGTTAATATAGGTATGTAGACTTTCTGATGAAACTGACCATGTATCATGAGGTCGGCAAAGTCCCATAGTTCATCTTCAAAAGGGGGAGGAATAAGTAATGAAAGTGATGATATTCCTGTAATTTCTGTCAACTCTCATTGTGATCTAGGCAATTCTCAGTAGCAAGGTTGTCTTTGCCTACCCAAAGGGGCATTTGCCCAGTCTCTGTGCAAAATATAAGTGACCACTCCCCACTTATTAATTCTGTGAAGGGCTATTGTAGTAGGGTGGGTTGTTATCAATCAATGTAATAGTAATACACTGTGATAAACCAATGAAACAACATGTACAGTAAATGTACAAGAACAGAGAGAAGATTCCTTATACATTTAGGAATTAATTATTTCACAAGTCTATCACAAGTAATAACAGAAAGTCAACTGCAAACATACAGTAAGTACAAAGTAGGATAAGTTTAATACTCATTAATAAGACTTTATAATATAAATAAATGTCTTCATAATAGAAAGTACATTTATTTTGTTTCACCCAACAAAATCACATTCAAATCTTAAAACAGACAAGTAATATCTAGTTATAAAGTCTTTTCAAGTTCTTTATACATCATTTCAGAGTGTTATTATCTCATTGTCTGAGAGCAATGTGTACTGGCTGGTTGGCCTGTACTCCTATCTTGTCCAACACACAGGCATCGTATTTCTTCTGTGTCTCACGACAGTAGCCAAATTCTTGATTATTCTTATCCAGACACGTCCAATGCTTGGTAAACGCCTCGTTACAGTCTCCTTTTAACTTCTTGAAGAAATCAAGGGCACATTTAGTAACTTGTTTGCCTTCTTGTAAGCACTTTCGAGGATCCTTGGTTTCGTAACGACATCCCATGAAGGTCTTGAACTCCTTATCGCAGTACTGACCAAGATGATGCGCTGCTCCCAACAAAACTGAGGATGTGAGTTCAACCTCCTTTGATTCAAGATCATCTAGAGTGATATCTTTGACTCCAGAAGCCATCGTAAAGCTGCAAACTACTTTTCTTGTTGAAGAAGAAAAACAAAATGGCGGCTTTAATGATACGACCGCTGACTAGCCTTATTGCTGGCTCTACCAATCGCATAGCATTATGGTCCTTTTAAATGATTTTTAATTTTTCGAAAAATGCTTTTACAAAATATCAAGTAAAAGTCAAAAATGTGGAAATAATCTTGGAATCCTATTCCTAGAGTGCTATTCATTCATTTAGGATAAAAAGATCTACCTTATATTCGCAAAAGAAAAAATACATATACGAGTGATTGTATAGGGACCGCAAGGGCTCATGGTTAGTTTTCAAGATGGCGGACGAGCAAGAATCTTCAACAGATATTTTTCAGGACCTTGATAGCCTTGTTTGGGGTCCAAATGTAAAAGAAGAAGTATTTCAAAGATGGACACGAGGTAATGTTTGAGTTTTAGAGTATATTTGTGCGTAGAGTGTGATAGTAAACAAGTACATTTGTTTTGTTGTTGAAGTTGACAGCTTTCGTCATCGTGATTCATTGTTTTTCTCTTTGAATTTTACCAACCAAACATTTCCTCTTTTCTTCACTTTAAACATATAATTGTTTTCGTAATGTATAAAGGAATTTCAGTTATGGTCTGTGTCTGCTTCTGAGCCATTTTAAGTTTACTATAGAACTTAAGGACCGTGCCAACTAATTGAGAATCTATTTTTTTAAATGACTATGTGAATTGTTTTAACTTATCAAAGGGTTGTCAAAATCTGGTTAGAAAAGTAGGGGTCACCATGTATTTAAAAGAAATAATAAGGCTTAAAAATCGTTAAAAAGTGATGATATCATGATTTTACTATAAAACACCAGAAAAAGAAAATCAAAAGATGTTGAGAAATTTCTAATATATATCGTCCGAAATGACTGACACTTCATCATCCCAACATCCCAACAACCCAACATTACAAATATTACACCCAATCTGATCTAAAACATTTTATAAGTTAGTATAATAACTCATATGTCTGTAATGTTTTAGGGTTTATATTCAGTCCTGATGAACCAACTGCTCTTGTCCAGGAACAAGGTGGTCCCTGTGCAGTGATTGCTGCAGTTCAGGTACATTTTATATATTTAAATGAAGAAAAAGATGATCATCATGTTTTATAAAGTATTTGTGAAACTGTTAAAAGGAACAGTTTACATATGTATTGTATATGATTTTCATACCATTCTAGGCTTATATGCTGAAAAATATATTATTTTGTGATGGTACTGATGCTTCATCAACAGACTGGAAGCATTTATCAGGTATATACTGTAATTATCCCTAATCCCCTTTGATGTTTCACATACCATGTTGGTTATAATAGTCATTACAACTGGATTCTACTGTAAATTTGGCCCACATCTTATGCTCCTAATATTGTGTCAGTAGAGGCTTTGCACCATCACTAATGACAGCCATGACAGGAGGCAGATCGTTAGAGTTTTGTCTCCCCTGGGAAGCTGAATTCTTTTTCAAATCAGATTAGACTAGATTTTATTGTTACTGCCTCTGATCTGGGCTGTTATCATGTGATGGTGCAAAGCCTCTATGAATATATATGTTATATGTTAATTTTCATTGATGACAATTTTATATTAAAGATGACCAGACCAAGAACATCCTCGTTTGTACCTTGTGTCAGATGCTTCAGATGGCCAAGGAAGAGGATGATAGTATAATATCTTTGGTTTTATTAAGAGATCACATGCTGAGTAATCTAAAGGAGCATAGTAGTATAGAAACAGATGATGGTACTTCCACATGCCGTAATTCTGGTAGGTTCTATTATTTTTGCTTAAATCATTGCATTTGTAAAGACACAAGGGCGGATCCANCCCCCCCACCACCCCGCCAACCCCATTACAACTTGTTGTTTTTTCTTTTTTTTTAACACAATATACAGTCAACTCACATTACAGTGGACTGCCTTGGGACCTTACTTGGTGTTCATTATAGCTCGTATCTGCAATGGCAAGAATGAATAACGGTCATTTCTTAGTCAATATTTTTGCAAAGATGAGAGTATTTTTGCAAGTGATTTTGCTCCTGTCCGTAATAGTGAGGTGTCTGTAATATCAGGGTTTCTGGAAGGGGAGAGTTGACTGTATTACAGAGAATCTTTACACTATGATGTTGTTAACCTTTTCTGATAAAAGTCAAGACTCTTATGTTTTTTATACCAGTAGAAATACATGTGTATGTGTTATGACTGGTACTTGCACCATCACATGATGGCAGCAATGACAGGAGGCACAACGATGCTCTTTTTCTTCTGGGAAACTGAGTTCTTTCTCATGTAAATTAGATTAGACCAGATTCAATTAATTGTTACTGCTTCCTGTCATGGCTGCCATCACGTGATGGAGCAAAGCCTATATAGTGTATACATGTACATGTATGATGTCAAAAATAACGTCACTTATTAAGTGTACTGTAGTTTTGGACCCCCCTCCCCCAGACCATGTTCATTTACCTGTTTATTGTTTTTTTGTTCAGAATCACCACAGTATCACAAATCAGTATGTGAACAGCAATTAAAACATCAATCAAATAAAGAAACTATTAATTTATTGAGGTACAACGGATAAGCATTGTTATTTACTTTCTTCCATTCATTTTTTTCATTCATTCATGTCTTACAGTACATGTGGATATTTGTTTAAAGGAGCCTATTAATTAATTTTTCTACCCATACGCCTGTTCCTTTTCATCCATCCACCAACCCTCTCACCCTTCCATCTAACCTTCCATCCAATCACCCATCTGTCACTGCACCCATCCATTTACTCAACCATTAATCCAGCCACCCCTTCTCCCTCTAAACCATGCATTCATCCACCCACCCAGACAGCCCCCCCCCCCTTACTAATTTTTTCATTCTTTTTCAATCATCCTACTACCTACTGTATCCATACATCTATATCCACCCATTCATCTACTCAATCCCACTTTCCCACCAAATCAAACAAAAACAAGGAAAATAGCTTGGAAAAATGATGAACATGTTATCAATATTTACAACATAAATCAGTACATGTTACTATATATATACTAGGTTGAGAACTTGTTGTTTTTTTTACCAGTCAGACTCAATGCAACTCTTCCAGTGAAGCAAGATCTTTGATAGAAAGAAATATTCATATATTTGAAGGACATTTTGGAATTCTATTATTTCTATATTCTATGATTCTTACGAGGGTAGGTACAGTACTGTACGTATAATTTGTTCTCATTACCAAGTGAACCACTCATATTATTCCCATTCCAACTATTGATTCAAACTGACCTTACATCCTATGAACAATAAATATTGTTATATCATTAACAGGGCATAAGTACCATAAAAGATGAAATGGGAGATCCAGGAGAACCTCTGGTGGATGAAAACTTTGGTTTTGGAAGGTGAGATTGAATGTGCATTGTGTACACTGATGTACAAATAACCATAGACCTTCATTAGTGTATAAATCTCAGACCATGTGTCATTCAGACAATGAGTTTCATTTCTTTGCTGTACTTACCCTAGCAAATGAAGAGAATAATTTGACATATGGAGTGACAAGATTAAATGACCACTCGTCATTCCCTAGAGTATCATTTCTTTGTTTAAGTGTTGTGCATGAGAAGACACATAAATATCCATATATACACATATACATTTACCCATGAATACAACTCAAACAAAGAATGAGTATCATTTCTTTGTTTAAGTGTTGTGCATGAGAAGACACATAAATATCCATATATACACATATACATTTACCCATGAATACAACTCAAACAAAGAATCTTATTCTCAAGGGAATGATATGGTCTGAAATGGGAAAACAATACAACCAATTTATTGCTGAAATAGAGCTTGAGTGTCTGTGTTTTGTTGTTCTCACATAATTATTTTGTGATTTTGTTCAGCCAGACCTTGATAAACCTTTTAATGACAGGCCAAGCTGTGTCAAATGTATGGAATTTAAGTAAAGAAGTCAGTGGGTTAGGTATGTATTTCAGTGTTTTTTAGATTAGAGGGGATGTGCATAAAATATATAATCATACCTGTATATAAATGGGGGCTGCCAAAATAGATTGCTTTAAAATTTAGAATGCATGCACCACCAACTCTTTGGTTAAGAAAGCTCCCTTGGATAGAGCAGATATCAAATGAGTGAGAAAACTTTAGTACATGCATGGTCAATGATCACAAGGCCTCTTAGGCATCAAGCCTTCCACCCGGGAGTGGTGAACGCATTAGATTAGATTAGATTAGAATTTATTTTTTAATTTGAGCTTTATCCTGATAGTTATAAGTGTTTAATTGATCTTCTTTTAAGATACGGCACTTACAATAGTTGCTTGCATTGAATAATTTTAGTTTTTCTGAATTTTCAGAGTTAAAGGGCATTGCTAAGCAGTCACAAGTTGGATTTTTAACTTTATTAGAAGCCCACAGATATTGTGAGGTAATTGATGTAAAGTAGATTTAGTTATTATACAGTAAGTACTATTGATGCAATAACTGTAAGATCATTTACCAAACATTGATTGGTTTTCAATACGTAATATAACACTTTTTAAAACCATGTTTTGTTTAGGTTGGAAGTTTCCTAAAGTTTCCAATCTATCCCATTTGGTTATTAGGCAGCGAAACACATATAACAGTATTGTTTTCTACTGTAAGTATATACTAGATAGCATACAGTTACAGTAGTGTCAAATTACCTATTCTCTTACCTTACCCTTTTGGTTTTCTCTTTTTTAATCCTTAACTATCATGATATCTTTCACTTGTTTGCTCAGGAAACATGGGTGGAAGGTATTGCTAATGCATTGCCTTTAACCAATGCGACCTGAGTTTGATTCCTGCCAGGTTTGGTTTGATATGCAAATATAGTTGCTTGCTGGTACCCTCCTGTGCTTCAAGGGTTTTTCACTGGGTTCTCTGGTTTTCCTCCCTCACGACAATCACCTTTTAAATTCCAATTTGATCAGAAATTGAGGGCCAGTTTGGAAAAAAGCCTCTGTGATTTACAGTATCTGTTACAGTATATCCTCAAAAAACAAAGCATACATTCTTTCTTTTCTTCTTTTTTTTCCAGTCTCTTACTTCCCACCTACATGTAGTTCACCTATCTACTCCCTCCCCTCCTCTTTCTCCTCCCTTTATTTCTCCTTCACTCATCCATTTTCTCACATTAAGCCATTTCCTTTTTTTCACTTAGAATCAGTCATTGAGTGGACCAGAATCCCCAAAAGAAGAGGCACAAAGGGTATTCAAATCATTCGATGAACAAGGTACATTGAGCTCATCATTCTTAACTTTGTTTTATATTTATAATATATTATTTTGACTGAAATTCTTTCTAATGCTTTTCTCTTCATATCAACAGAAAATGGATTTATAGAAAGTGATAAATTGACTGATGTTCTACACAAACTTGGACTGGAAACAGATCCTGAATAGTAAGTACATGTGCCAATAGTAACTACTTATCTTCAGGCAAGTTTTGAACATGATAAATACCCCGTACTTACAATGGGGGGACACCTATGATTTCATTTGACTTGTACTGGTGTATGAGGTCAGAGGGTCCCCTAATTTCATGGCTATTTGAATGCTTCTTTTTGCAGCTGGAATCCTACAGTGTGTATAATGAGCTGCTATCCCAGATGATCATTGTTTTCCTATATGTATGGCACAAATTCATTTTTGCAAGACTTTTGTAGTTTATTGACTAATCTTGCTTGCTAATGGGTGTGAGACACTAGCAAAACCCCCCTCCCCCCACTTTCCTTTCCCAAGTTATTTTATCAGTGTGATTTGTTATTTCAGTGTAACATTCATGAAATCCAGACTAGATCCAGACTCCATCGGCATCATACTTCTTCCCAACTTCATGGATGAGTTTTTCCCAGGAGAGGTACACTGTAAATGCTTATAGTTTTAATTTGTCTGCAGATTATCAAGAGTTTTCTATGAGTTCTCTGGTTTTTCTCCCACCACTAAATAAATAATATTGTCCTTGTTTTTATGAAGGAGTTATTCAATAACTAGTGGCTAGCAAACCTTTGGCCCTCATTCCATCACTGAATCGGAATTTAGAAGTTGATTTTTGCAGAGGGAGGAAAGTGGAGAAAAAACCTCAAAGAGAATTAATCTAGAAACTCTGCTTGCATTTTGTGTACAACAACCAGTCCAGCTATCAAACCTGGTTTGCATTGGTGAGAGGCGAACACTCTTGCCTCTATGCCACATGCTTCCTGTACCCTCATGGAACAACTTAGATGATCTTGTTATATTCTTTTTCAGAGCACATCCCAGTGGACTGGTCCTTTTACAGTGTATCATTACAATGGTCTTGGGGTAAAGCAAAGTGATTCTCAATTACCTAGAAAGGTACTGATAACCTCCGTTTTGGAATTTTGAATCATGTACTGTACATTGAAGTATGTCTGGTAATCACCTTACAGTACCAACATCTTTTGTATATCTTGCCTCAAATGCATGGCTTTTTTTAAACAATAATGCACCATATTGTCCGTATCAAAGGCTCAGAGGGCTTCATTAATTTTGGAAGTAGAGGGCTCTCTTTACAAAATAGGTAGCTGTGTCCTGCACTAGATAGCTATTAATGATTTTCCATTATATCATGAAGTAGACAGTGGCAAAAGATAAAGTAGCTCACAATCTACCTCTAGTAGCCACCTTCTATTGAAACCTCTGAAGGATTCCTGGAACTATAGACCGTTTCCTCAAGGTTGCATGCACATCCTGAAAAACGCAAATTCATTAAAATTGAGCAGCCAGTTTTATATTTAAAAAGGAGGATAATCAATTTTATGAATTCCTATGCACGCAACCTTGAGAAAATGGTTTATTGGATTTTGTTTGTTACCACATGTACTGTATCACATTTTTTTGGTAATATTTTACCTGTTACAGGTGATGTACTCAGAAGGTATTGCATGTATCGAACCAACAGACCTCAGTCATATTGCAGAAGAAGAAATTATCTCTTGTCTAAAAACTAAGTGGACAGGAATAACTGTCACCTGGCACTCCAAATACCCACCCTCTGTTAACTGAAAAAACTCATAAATATTTATCAATAAACATTTGGTGCAATCAGAATTATCCAATGCATCACAACATGGACCTTTCTACCTTATAAGTTGGTATATTATTTAAACGTTTTTGAATTATTCATGGCTTTCTCAAGTTTGTCAATAAACTTGCATACTTATAATCCCTTTATCAGGTTTAATATACACACATTCCAAAAAAGCATTGTTGGTTGGAGATCTGAAAATTGAAATGAGACAATTCATGGTAGTGGTTCCCCTTAGTTACTGTCACTATGTCACACAAGTTCAATAAATTAGCTAGAACATCTCTGAACTTAAAACCCTGATTACTGAAAATTGATTATAAATTGTTTCACTAGCTTACTGCCCGGTGAAAAATAAGAGAAAATTGCCTCGTAATCCTTGTATTATTATTTTTAAACAAATACCGTGTAGCTTATGGGACATAATTTTATAGGTTAACTGCCACAATGGTGTTTAGATAACTATTGTCCGAGTTGGAACAATTGACTTACCAGTGCAGGTCATTACTTAAAGGTGGTGCAAACCACTAATTAAAAAGGCAAAACAATTATCACTTCCATTCACATTCAAATTCACAGCTCACTGTGCACGATTCATTTCATGTCTCAGATTTCAGATCTCTCTCGCCCATCAGAAGACAGTATTGATCACTTGGAAATATAATTCATATCTCTGTGCATCCATGTATCATTCTCTATTCATATCTCTGTGCATCCATGTATCATTCTCTATTCATATCTCTGTGCATCCATGTATCATTCTCTATTCATATCTCTGTGCATCCATGCATTATTCTCTATTCATATCTCTGTGCATCCATGCATTATTCTCTATTCATATCTCTGTGCATCCNATTCTCTATTCATATCTCTGTGCATCCATGCATTATTCTCTATTCATATCTCTGTGCATCCATGCATTATTCTCTATTCATATCTCTGTGCATCCATGCATCATTCTCTATTGGATGATTTTGTTCTCATCATCCTGAGTGAGCTGGAGACTTGGATATATGTAAGCATTCAGATCTAGATCAGGCGAGTGGAATCCAACCAGTAGCATTAATTTATTGGAAGTTTGAAAAAACAAAGATTGAACTAAGTAATGGCTTATGTAAAATTGAAGTTTTATTTAATCTAATTATCAATGACTTTGTAATATCAATAGTGTATATTAAACATTTTAATCACCTGTTCTATGGATTAATTGCATCACTTACCTTAACAATAATTATTGATCAATATTCGAAACCTTTTATCACCTTTTCAACTAATATTAATCATTACCAAGAATAATATTGCAAAAAAAGGTCATTTCTGGTCAAAAAGCATGGGCTATGACCAATGGTTTTTAAATGTTTTGGGCCATTTTCACAGCTAAAACTAGGCACTATTTATAAAGAGTACTAAATTCATTTAGTCATTTATGGGCTATAAACCATAATTTTTGATTAAAAATCACCATGGTTTTTGGACCATTTTCACACCTCATAAAACTATGCATTA